ATGTCCGTGTGGTTCACACTCACATTTGGCGATGTGGCGCTTGCCAAGAGTGGCAGCAAACCGCCACAAGCGATGATCAAATTATCCGCCAACTGCGATATCAGATGCACTGTATTCACCACAAAGATGGCATTCTCACTCGAATTTACAAAATCCAAAACACTTTTCGTCGAGTGGCTGCGCCACACTTGTATGTCTGTTTCCAGTGAGAAGAGCACATCGGATAGGAGACGTTGATGTATGTAGGACCACTTGAATTCCGGTATGCGAAAGGGTGGACGTGTTGGGCCGGGACTGAACATGGGACGCGTTGAGCCTGGTTTGGAACGTTGCTGTTGCTGTTGTTGTTGTTGTTGTTGTTGCTGCTGCTGATGTTGCTGATGTGGATTTTTGTTATCTGGAAATAAAGTGAGTGTAGCGCATAAAAAATCTGTTTGATATGGAGGAAGGATTGAGTGCTGGGCTTAGCAAATGTGGGTGTGTGGTTGTAGCAAGTTTGACTGGATTTTTATTAGATACATTTTCACTACACACAGGGAAATTCTGGCAACAGTCTTTCGAAAGACAAAAGCGCTAAATATCGTTTGGGCATAGTTTGGTTGCGGCCCTAAAATGACTTCTCGATTGAGTTAAAAGAGATATTGGCCACAATATTCAGATACCTATATTTTACACAAAAAATTACAATATTTACATATAATTACATTTGTATGAAGAAAACATTCCTTATTCAAAATCGATTTCGCAAATAGGCAATAATTTTAAGCAAAGTATCCTTGAATTTTAAAAATATTTCGACTCCAGCGTCACCTAGCTGATGCAAGTGAATACACATTCCGTTACTCACAGAAATTTACTGGAAGGTTTAGAAGCCCATAAGGGACATACACATATTCACATAGGGGATTCCCTTAAACAAGTAAAGTTTTAAACTGTGTAAAACTCGTAAGTTTACGAGGCTTTTATGGGAACGCCCCTAATGTGAAAAGGTGTAAATAGGCACGTAAAGTATCTGTGTGACAGATCAACCAGGACTTTGTGAAGCAATTTTTATTTCGTAGTATTTTCCATAACATCCCGCCGTCTTGCCTTGCTAAAATACAATTAAAAATTCCGAAAATTTTAAGAAAACCAAAGTCAATACAGTTAGTGGATGAAATTCGTTCATTTTATTCGCTTATTATTTTTTAATTTATTTTAATTTTACATTATGTTATACCAATTTCGGCCCCTCGGCAACACTGAAGTTTAAGAGGTGATTTGTGCATAAAATTTTGCCTGGTAATTTTACGAGGCCTGCAAATTAACGAGCTTCACGAGGTTTACGAGGGCTTTACGAGTTTAAGGGAAGAGGGGGGGTCTGTATACGCCTGGAAAAATGCAGCCAAGCTTCGTTAGCAGAAAAGCGAAACGAGGATTTCGGGGTTGCTAAGCGAATACTTTATCTGCAAGCCAGCGCCTCGTTGAAATAAAGTTGATTAAGTTCCTTATTACACCTATACAAAATTTTTTGAGTATGCAGTTTAATCAAGTGCAAGTTTCAAACGGCCAAAAAATCGCGTTGATTTTTGAAATTTTTTTTATATGAAGTGTGAACCTTTTATTTATTTAATTTATATTATAGAATGAACTATATTTTCATAAATAATCAAAGCAAAAAATTTTTCATGGAAGTAATTGTGAATGTTATTTCATTTGTCGCCAAGTATACACTGAAGTGCAAAACTGACTGATGACCGTTTTCGTTAAATATTTGCAAGCAAACCGTATAAATCAAAATTTTAATTTTTATGTATAGCTTAGGAAAATTTAACAAATTTTTATCAAAATTTTCAACTTTTTAATCTTAATTTTTATTTTTACGAGACTGTGGGCCAAATAGCATAAAATTGCGTTTCAATTTCTTTAAAAGGACTTTGAAATTTCAGAGAAATTTTTCATAAAATTATTTTAGAATTCAGTGCAATGAACATTAACATTATGGGTACCAAATAAAAGAGAAAATACTGTCGGATAAAAAATTAGGCGTTTGTGGTTTACAAGGACGAATAGGTAGATAGTGAAAAAGCTTTTTAATTAAATATATTTTTTTTTGTCTAATAAACTTCGACAGACGAAATTCGAAATTGGTTCTTTTGTGGGGAAGTTCTTGACAATACATTTTGTTATCATGCAGAACTTAACTCCAACTGAAACGCGTGCTCGATCATCGGTAAAGAAGAAAACATGATTACATTACATATATAAATAAGCTATTTTCATAAATGCACGCTTTACTGTTAGTAAGGGTTGACTTTAAATTCTATCAGATATATCAGCTGTATAAACTTCGACATCAATTTGCTCTAAATATTTAAAAATTGTACATATGTAATATAACAAACCAATTTTCGCTTGCGCTTAGTATCCCCTACTCCCCTTTAACTCCGTACGTAAGTACATAAGTTGTCTACTTGTCTAAAGAGGTCATAGCTGTAATTGAGAATGACGCAGACCGAGTAATAGTAAACGAAATTGGTGTTTATATGCACATACATACATACATATAAGCGTATGTATGTGCTTATCTAGGGAGGGAAGGGAAATAAAAAAAAATAAAATTACCAAAAAAACTTTAGCCCCTGTCACTTATTTGCTTGCATGAGTGCCGCTAAATCCCAGCTAAGTTTATGTGCGTGCCATTTAATTTTGTGGAAATCATTTGCTGCACTAAATGTCCGTTCGTGCGTCGTTTTGCCTGTCTGCTTGGATGGAGCAAGGGAAGGACCGAGATTTTATTACAACGCAATTTGGGCGAGCACTCAATTGACAGCTAGGATTTATCTAATTTCTAAGCAAGTTAAGCGAAGCTTAGCAAAGGTTAGAGAAGAAGAGCATTTCATTAATGTAATATATTTTTCGTAGTATCATTTGATTATCGCTGATATCGTTAAATACTGACATTTTCTTTTATTTTAGTCTGCTTGGTAGAAGAAATCGCCGCTGCACAGCTTGCTTATCTCCACAAAACAAAAACACACCCACCCACACACTTTGAATGCGAAAATTTGCACTAGGGGCGAATACTATATGTATGTATGTATGTACTTACCAAAATGATTATTCTCTACTTGTGTGCTGGCGGTTGTATGCTTTGGCTGCCGCTCATCCACATCAAGAATACCTTCGCCTTGTAATTCTTCGTGCGTCGTTTGTGTCTCCTCCTCAGTTTGCTCAACCAACTCCTCCTCCACTTCCACATCCGCATCCACATCCAAGCTAACAACGCTACTCTCATTCGGTTGGTTCTTTGGCGTCGTTTGTGTTGTTGAGTCCACCTCTTTAACCGCTGGAAGTGATGCGGCCGCTAATGGGTTTGATGTTTCCTTTGCTATTTCTGCGGACGCTAATAACGTTTCTGACAGTTCTGCTTCCGCTGTTGTCTCAGCGGATGAGGCTGCAGGCTTTTCCACTTTTTCTATGCTATCCACTGTTTTTTCTAGCAAATCATCCACAACTGTTTGCACAATGTCCGTAATACTTTCCTTTGTAGTATCTACTTTTGGTGCACTTTCTTCAAGCAGTAAGCTCTCCTCAGCCGCTGTCTCTTCTGTGTCGACAGCTTTTTGCAGCGCAGACGTTAGCACATCTTCCACAATTTCTTTGGCCGCTTCCGAAACAGCCGCTTCACTCACATCATCCTCCGCCTTGCCCACGATTTCATTGTTGTTTGTCTCTTTACTCGCCGTATCTTCCGCAGCAGTCGCGTCTATCACCTTGTCTATCAATTTATCGACGATATCCTTCGCTATTGCCTCGACTTGAATGCTTTCGCTGTCTACCGGCGTTGGATCGGTTAAGGCGAGCAAATTCTCCTCGGTAATGGATGCACTTGAAACTGTTGTTTCGGGACTGAGTGAGGAGATCTCCTCCGTGGTCTCAACTGTGGTCGAAAGCGAAGAGCTCACATCCATTAGCTCGTGTTCGTGTTCTTTGGCAACAACGATTG